ACTCACAAAATGACAACATGTTTCACCCCAAAACACATTCTGCTACTCCATCCGTGTATGTCGATACCACATGTATGAGACGTTTTCAATGTCTGGACTGATTGCATACTTAAGATTGTATTTTGTGTAACACAAAAATCAACCAATTGTATCAAAACAGTGTACTGTAATGATTGTCTCTGTACAGGTGGTCAAGGATTATAGCTTGGTGTGGTATCACCTGAAGCAGTCCCTGTTTTTATAAGCCAAGCAAGCCTAGTCTACAGGTACATGGCTGCCCCCAGGAATGTTCACTGGCCAGGAAGTACAGGAGGCTAAGGAAAGGAACAACAAAGGAGTTCCTGTGGTTCCAGGAGTGCAGTTGTCTTCAGAGGATGGGTGGGATTGGTGTCTTACTAGATTGTAGTCTGTGGGACATGCAAATGGGTCAGGCAACAGACAGAGACAGGGTCAGCAAACAGGCAAAGGATTGGCCGACACAGTAGGCAGAAATGTGAATAATAACCATGCCAGGGTCAGTACAGGCAGCGGCCAACACTGCATTGGTCTGGCTACACTAGGACTGGTGTGAAAGCAATCAAAACTATTTTGCTTACTTACACTGGTTTGATGACACTGGGACTTAAGTAATAGTTATTAGGAACACAGTTGCTGGGATACACTGGTCTGGGGACACTGAGACTGGTATGACAGTGATCAAGAACACTGTTGCTGGCTTACACTGGTCTGGGGACACTGAGACTGGTATGACAGTGATCAAGAACACTGTTGCTGGCTTACACTGGTCTGGCAAGACTGGTACAGTGAGTCTTGTGTGGCAACACTGCAATCAGGAACATAGTTGCTGCTTTACATTGGTCTGGTGACACTGGGGCAAGTGTAGCAGTGATTAGGAACATGGTTGTTGACATGCACTGGTCTGGTGACACTGCAACTGATGTGGCAGTAATAAGGAACATTATTGCAGGTATACACTGGTCTGGTGACACTGGGACTGGTGCGGCGGTGATCAAGAAAACTGTTTCTGGCTGCACTGGTCTGGTATGGCAGAGATTAAGAACAGCTAGCTACACACACACACACACATGAGGTTGGGGGCAGTAAAACCTTGTGGTTGAGCCATGGTTTACAACAATTACCCTCTCTAGCTGCAGAGGCAGCAGGCTGGTGGTGTGTGTGTGCATGCTGCAGCTGCCATGCTTGCTTCTTCAAGTGAATGGGGTACTTGTGTGGGGTCCAAGGGGTAAAGCAGGCAGTGAGGAGATGATACAATGCCTTCTCACGACCTGTAAAATGGTCTTTGAAGAGGTATTCATACACGGATCATTCACAGAGCACCACACATGTGACCAATAATGAGACCTTATGGGTGGTAATCAGGGACACTGTGACTGGCTGCACAGGTCTGGTGACATTGAACTGCTGTGGCGGTAATCAGACACAATGATTGGCTGCACTGACATACAATGATATCACAGAGGCCAGCCATCAGGCAGCACAGCATCTAAGTTGTTAGCACTTCTGCCTAGCAACTTGAATTTAAACCACTGCACTACCTGCATGGAGTTTGTATGTTATCCCTGTGCCTGTGTGGGTTTCCTCTTGGTACTCTGGTTTCCTCCCACACTCAAAAGGCTGATAGGTTAACCACTTGCCCTCCTGAGGATTTACCCCCCTTAATGACCAGGCCTCTTTTTGCTACTCGGCGCTGCACTAATTCAACTGATAATTGCGCGGTCATGCAACGCTGCACCCAAACAAAATTTACGTCCTTTTTTTCACACAAATAGAGCTTTCTTTCGGTGGTATTTGATCACCTGTGTGCTTTTTATTTTTCACGCAATAAACAAAAAAAGGCCAAAAATTTTGAAGAAAAATGATATTTTTTACTTTCAGCTATAAAAAATATATAGTAAACTCAAAGTTTGTAATAAATTTAGGCCAAAATGTATTCCGCTACATGTTTCTGGTAAAAAAAAAATCCCAATAAGTGTATATTGATTGCTTTGTGTGAACGTTATAGCGTCTACAAACTATGATATAGATACTGCAATTTACGCCATTTTTTTGCTATATACGCACTGCGCTAGTTTAACGGACAATTGCACGGTCATGCAATACGGTACATAAATGAAATTTATGTCCTTTTTTTCACACAAATAGAGCTTTCTTTTGGTGGTATTTCATCACCTGTGCGTTTTTTATTTTTTGCGCTATAAAAAAAAAAGCCTGACAATTTTGAGAAAAAAAACAATATTTTGTACTTTTTGCTATAAAACATGCACTTTTTGCTATAAAACACAAATTTAAAATCAAATTTCGTCATAAATTTCGGCCAAAATGCATTCTGATGATGCTACATACGGTGTGTGTGTGTACAGTTGTGACCAAAATTATTCAACCCCCAATGCTGTAAAGGGGTTTAGGGACTATAGTGTACATTTGGAATTGTATTCAGAATCAAATCCTACAAGGACGTTGTAACTACCCAAATGCAACTAAAATGACATCAATTGTTTATGTAATACAGTAGTAAATGGTTCTTATGTGGTTTCTTCATTGCCACAATTATTCAACCCCTTAAAGACTACCACTCTGAAGAACAGAGGTTCATACAGGTGCTTTCCATCAGGTATTGAAAACACCTGTGGATGTCACCGAGCAGCAATCAAGCATAATAAGCACCAATTAGGCAGCTTTAAAATGACTGTGATACTCAGCTCCTTCTAGACATTTACTGGTGTGGTTACAAACATGGTGAAGGCAAGAGAATGGTCCAGGAAGACAAGAGAAGAGGTGATTTCTCTTCACAGGAAGGGCAATGGCTATAAGAAGATTGCAAAGATGTTAAACATACCAAGAGACACCTTAGGAAGCATCATTCGCAAATTCAAGGCAAAGGGCACTGTTGAAACGCTACCTGGTCGTGGGAAAGAAAAAGATGCTGACTTCGACTGCTGTGCGCTACCTGAAGCGTAGAGTGGAGAGAAGTCCCCGTGTGACTGCTGAGGAACTGAGAAAAGATTTGTCAGATGTGGGTACAGAAGTTTCAGCCCAGACAATAAGACGCACACTGCGTAATGAAGGCCTCCGTGCCAGAACTCCCAGGCGTACCCCCTTGCTGTCTCCAAAGAATAAAAAGAGTCGACTGCAGTATGCCAAAAGCCATGTGGACAAACCACAAAAGTTGTGGGATAGTGTTCTGTGGACTGATGAAACAAAATTAGAACTGTTTGGGCCCATGGATCAACGCTATGTTTGGAGGAGGAAGAACAAGGCCTATGATGAAAAGAACACCTTGCCTACTGTGAAGCATGGTGGAGGGTCAATCATGCTTTGGGGCTGTTTTGCTTCTGCAGGTACAGGGAAGCTTCAGCGTGTGCAAGGTACCATGAATTCTCTTCAGTACCAGGAGATATTGGATGGAAACGTGATGCAGTCCGTCACACACCTGAGGCTTGGGAGCGTTGGACCTTTCAACAGGACAATGATCCCAAGCATACCTCCAAGTCCACTAGAGCATGGTTGCAGAGGAAAGGCTGGAACATTTTGGAGTGGCCATCGCAGTCACCAGACTTAAATCCGATTGAGAACCTCTGGTGGGACTTAAAGAAAGCAGTTGCAGTGCGCAAGCCTAAGAATGTGACTGAACTGGAGGCCTTTGCCCATGAAGAATGGGCGAAGATACCCGTAGATCGCTGCAAGACACTTGTGTCAAGCTATGCTTCACGTTTAAAAGCTGTTATAACTGTAAAAGGATGCTGTACTAAGTACTAAGATTGAATGTCACTTGGGGGTTGAATAAAACTGATAATGCTGTGAGCACAGAAAAGACATTTGTGGTTATTTCATTATAACTGTTATGTTATATTTGTCTGACCTACAAGTGCCTCTTTAATGTAAATGTAAGCAAGATGACTGAATGATCAAAAGCAATGTCAAACTGGCCAAAACACTCAATTTCAGTGGGGGTTGAATAATTTTGGTCACAACTGTATATACTGTATGTATATAATATAGTACCTGTAATAAACTGTACACGATCACTAACTCAGCAATACACCATAGTGAAACTGCACTTGTATGTAAAGAAAAAAAAAAAGCACTGCTCATTTTAAGTGCTTACCACAGTATAGATCACTATAGTAAGCTCTCTGTTGCCTCTCACAGCTGATAGGTGTAAGGAAAAAAAAAAAGTTCAAAGGCTGCAAAATGCAGCCTTTGTTTACATGCATGATCGCTGTGATTGTTCTGTAATCTGTGATTCCTACATGCTGTGCATGAGCAGGAGGATGGTACAGGTACATCCTCCGGAATCCAGGAAGCCATCACCCAATCATTTATATGCAGTGGCCAGGCAGGAGGTGGTTTTTAAAAAAAGATAGTTCAGTCCTCAACACCCAGGACTGTCTGCACCTATTGGCAGTGGCTGCAACACATGATGGCTGATTATCTGAAAGAATGTAATGTAAAACGGATGATCCCTCACCTACTGGATTATGAGAATGAACCAGATTGATTATCCTCTGCATCCACCTGCAGATTCATAATTTTAAATTTTTTGCCAACATTTATTATTTTTAGCTATGTATGATTCAAAGTTATATTTTTAAGACTCAATGGGTTGGGTAGAGAGATTGAGGCACAGCTTTTACATTGATTTATCAGTTGATCCTTTCCTTTGCAAGCATATTTGTGTTTGCTATGGTGGCAATACCCAAAAGCTAAATTTCTGCAAGCCTTTTTTTTTAACTGCCTCCCACCTGCCATATAAGGAAATGACAGGCGTAAGGCGATTATCTCGTTCTGGGAGGACGTCATATGTCGTCCTCCCACTCTAACCACATGTGCACGCCCCTGGGGGCGGGTAGCATGGCGATCGGTGGTACGCTGTGTCCCTGGGACACAGTGGATCACCGATCAACAGAAAGAGCCGAAGACATCGGCTCTGTCATGTGATCAGCTGTGTCCAATCACAGCTGATCACAAGTAAATAAGGAAATGCCGGTTATCGGCATTCCTCTCCTTACGAGTTGTCACGCTGACAGCTCGTGAGGGGAGGAGAGCCAGTAATCAACATTACTCAGGGGGGACATCCTGATCAGTGTACCCTGACGATCAGTGTAGCCCCATCAGTGCCACCTGTCAGTGCCCATCAATTCCACCTGTCAGTGTCCATCAATGCCACCTGCCAGTGCCCATCAGTTCCACATCAATGTCACATATAAGTGCCTACAAGTGCACATCAATGCCACATATCAGTGCCCATCTGAGCTGCCTTTCAGTGCTACCTATCAGTGCCAGTCATTGCCGCCTATCAGTGCTGCCAATCAGTGCTGCTATCAGTGCCAGTCAGTGCCACCTATCAGCGCTGCCAATCAGTGCCGCCTATCAGTGTGCATCAGTGTGCATATCAGTGCCCATCTGAGCTGCCTTTAAGTGCCACCTATCAGTGCCAGTCAGTGCCACTTATCAGTGCTGCCAATCAGTGCCTGTCAGTGCCACCTAACAGTGCCCGTCAGTGCCACCTAACAGTGCCAGTCAGTGCCACATAGCAGTGACATATATGAGTGCTGCCTTTCATTGCCCGTAAGTGATGCCTGTCAATGCCCATCAGTGCCACCTACCAGTGCCTCCTCATCAGTGCAGCCTATCAGTGCCCATCAGTGCAGCCTTTCAGCGCCCATCAGTGCAGGCTCATTAGCGCACATCAGTGAAGGAGAAAAATCACTTATTTACAAAATTTTATAACAGAAACTAAGAAAAAACTTTTTTTCAAAATGTTCAGTTGTTTTTGGGTTTTTTTAGCAAACAATAAAAAACCCAGAGGTGATTAAATACCACCAAAAGAAAGCTCTATCTGTCTAAAAAAAAAGATAAAAATTTAATATGGGTACAGTGTTGCATGACCACGCAGTTTTCATTCAAAGTGCAACAGCACTGAAAGCTGAAAATTGGCCTTGGCAGGAAGGGGGTATAAGTACCTGGCAGGCAAGTGATTAAAGACAGAAATTGTTCAGTTTTTGCATTGGCTAAATATTGCATTGGCCATTAATTTTTTAAATGCAGGGCATCATCATTACAAATAGAAATTTTATGTTTCCACATGCTGCTTATCAGTTGTGAACAGGGGCCGACTGACAACTCATGGGGCCCCCGGGGAATAGGGGATCATGGGGCCCCTGTGTCCTTGCCCAAACTATAAAAAGCCTATGAAAAAGGTACCAGGAGCATCTCATGGGGCCCCCTACTGACCCCGGGCCCTCAGGCAGTGCCCGAGTTTCCAAATGGTCAGTCCGCCCCTGGTTGTGAAATTTCAACTACACACTCTTTAAAGTAGAGTGGCCTAACAGTGATTCTTTACATAAAAGCTGCCCAGTCTCACCCTTTACCTCTGAAATTCTTATAAAACATTCTTTTAAATATGTGCAGATAACTCCCCAGAACATTTTTCTCCTTTGTCCCAGGAAGATTTAAAATATAACTTTTAGATTTTACAGATGGAGGCTACGTGCACTCTGCCTTTTGAATTGCCTCTAATTTATCGGAACTATTTACATTCTGTGCAGAGAATAGAAATAGGTATGATTTCTAGATTATGAGTCATAAAAATATCACTCTAAGTATTGCCAGCTGAAATGTAACACTTTCCTTCGCCCTAAGTTTCTTTCTCCTATAAAAGACATGGTTATGAGCATATGTCTGTGAAATAGTTATATAGTGTGCTCTATAAAATGCATGTTTTATTTCCTGACTTAATTAAGCCAACTCTCTGCCTCCATAGTTACCTATTTGCAAAAAGGATTAGATTATATTTTAAAAGTACAGCTCTATGTACAATTTCCATCATCGGTACTAAAATATAATCTCCATTACATATTCAGGCTGTAATAAGATGACACTCTATCTTCAAATTGACCTCCAATTAGTAATGATGATATTCTATATCATATTTCCACAAATATACTGTCTAATTTATTTAATTAAAGTTTAATTAGATTTAAAGTTTAATTATCTTCTTTATGGAAAAAAATAATAGCAGTATTAGTAAAGTACAATTTGCTTGCTCTCTCTGTGTCATAAATAGGGGACAGTCTTAAAACGTTTAAAAAGATATGCATTAAATCTGTAAAATATGTCCATGCTCACTCTGTGAAGAAGGAAGCCATTTTTCGGGGCAAAATTCAATCTGGTTACTCTCTCCCTCATAAATTGTAGCCTTGACACTGAAGGTTTCAAAGTTGTGTTGCAAAGATGTATGGTGTTTCCATCTTCAGCATCCAAAACAAGGCACTGATATACAATTTCCTGGTGTAAAATGCCTGTCTGCTCTATCCTTTAAAAATTGCTAGCCTTCCACACTGCCCTGTTAGCTGTGGTGCTAAGCTATATGCTTTTTCTATTCTTAGTGTGCAATAAAGCACACTAATTGTTTATTTCCTGAAGCTAAATGTCTTCTCGATAACTCAGAAACTGTTCAAACCAGCTTGCTAGTTACGGTGCAAACCTTTATTCTATTTCCATAGTCAGTGTCCAATAGAAAATCTTTTTTTTTAACAGGTGCCAGCTCAAATTATAGCCTTCTCAAGCAGGCTTTCTGGCTGTGGTGCAAACCTGTATGCTATTTTCACTGTCAGTGACCAAATAAATACAGTCTTTTTCTTTCTTTTTACATGTTCTCCAGGTCAGTGTCTCCATGTATTTTCTTTTCCAATCCCTTAATTCTCTTAAATTTTAGCATAGAAAAAGGCCCTTACTGAAGCCAGGTGTTTGGCTCCCATTGATATCTGTACTGAAATTTCAATAACATTCTTTGTGTGCTTGCTGAATCAAACTTGGGTACATTTAGCTCATCACTATTAACTACTCAGGTAAAAACAGTGGTAAAACATTTGCAAATGCATGCTGGTTTTTGTGCTGGCTAGCTTGAAAGTGTATTGGGGACCCCTTTCGTACTATTTTTTAATTTGTTTATGCAAGTTTCAAACAACATTCACCTAAGATTCACAATTTCCCATCTGAAGCTTCATGAACCCCCTAAGTGTGGTTTTATAATGAATAATGTTGGTTTTGATGTCATGTGGTATTTAAAACAAGTAAAAATATTATTGAGATTGCAGTAAAAAAACTACCAGTTTCTCAATACTATACTGACTTACAGAGGAGCATGTATTCTGCTGTAATATATAAAATTACTCTCTACTCATTATACCTTTGCCCTTGACATCCATCATTTGTAAAAATCACACACTGTAATCATACATAAAATAAATACTTACATTTGAGAATTTACATAATTTATTTTGCTCTGGTCATTTCAAGAGAGTTATGCATAAAAAGTTATTTCCGTAACACTTGATCGAAATCCTGCTATGTTCTGTAAAAGTAATTTCCTGCTCGAAGAATATTCCAACTCTAAATAGCATTTTTTACCTGGTCCCGGGAGAAATTCACTGTGTTGTAGATTTTTGCAGTACTGTAAAATTATTTATTTATTTTTGCTGTCAAAACACAAATAAGGAATTGTAGTTCATAAATCTCCTAATAACATGGCCCATTGTACCTTTTGTCACATATGTATATCTATCCACTTCTATATGTGGTGTCAGTGATGTTACAAACTCTTTCCTTTGCACGTATTTGTAATCTATAACAAGGCTGCATGGCTCGGTCTCCGAGCACTTTTCTGTCTATGAATCACTGTTGACCGTTCTATCAGACTCTCCTCAAATTCTCTTCAAATAGTGAATTATTTAAACAACCCCTCAAGGTTTGCTTTTTCAGAGAAGCCCTTCCTAACATTTTTACTGACTCATAGTCTGAGGCATAGTCAATGTAACCTTCTCCACATGTCACTCATTTTTTCCAATTTTTTCAGTGACATTACAACAGGGTTGAAAGCAGTCAAATGCACTCTGTGTTTTTTTTTATTGCTTAATGTCAATTTAAAGCAAACATTTGCTTTTGATCAAATAACCCGAAGGAGTGTCTGGAATACAATGATGGCAGGTCAGTCTTAAACTTTGTTGGCTAAAGTCTGCATATCAGAGACTGTGGGTTTGGGGGCTTTCATGGAGTTGAATAAGCAGTATAAAAGGACATACAGGAACTCCAATTTTTAAGTCTAATAATTTTACAAAAGACAAGGTTTACTCTAAAGGGCCAGTATAGTGTATTTTCAGTGAGCACATACAATATTAGCCACACAGGAACTTCTTTTGAAATTGCCTACTTACTAACTTGTGAAGATGAACCAAAAAACACGATCATTGTGTAGCTGTGCCAAGTTGGAAGAAGAGACTGCATACAATAAAATATGGCTGCCACGATTTACATGGTATTTGGATTAAATAATTTTATCAGCAGAACAAAAAAAAAAGCCTTTTGTTAATGCAAAACATACACTGAATTTTTTACAGGTTTAAAACAAAAATTTTTTTAGTGGAGATTAAGCTATTAATGTCAAATTATAGCCAAATTTTTTTCTGTTTGCTAGAGAGGGAAAGTATTAAACTATGATTACGTTTTAATTGTTGAATCATCGTAAGGAAGATTCACACTTATTGATTTTCTTAGTGACTATTGTCACTAAAATATAAAGTAACAGGAAATAAGAAAAAAATGTACAGTTGTTACCAAGCAGAAGTTGAGGAAAATCTTTTTACTATGTGCATCTGTTCCATTGGCAGCTGTCAAATGCATGATTTGTCCTGACGTTGGGAGAATTCAACTGTCATCCTGTTACGAATAATCTACCTAAAGGGGACACAGACAGCTATACAAACCTATCCACAATCCTCCCACTCTACCTAATCTAAATACAATCTAATACAAAAAGCAAAATGTTTTTAGCAGCGTGTCCAGCTATTCACCATATGCATATGCAGGCACGAGCCCCTTTAAACCACTTCAATACCAGGCATTTTTACCCCCTTCCTGCCCAGGCCAATTTTCAGGTTTTAGCGTTCTCACACTTTGAATGATAATTGCATGGTCATGCAACACTGTACCCAAACTAAAATGTTATCATTTTGTTCACACAACTAGAGCTTTCTTTTGGTGGTACTTAATCACCACTGGGGTTTTTATTTTTTGCTAAATTAACAAAAAAAAGACTGCAAATGTTGAAAAAAAAAAAAAAACACGTTTCTTTGTTTCTGTCATAACAGTTGCCAAATAAATAATTGTTCTTCATAAATTTATGCCAAGATGTATTTATTATTTAGTCTGTAGGAAAGTTATAGAGTTCACAAACTATGGGATATATCTGAAAATTGATCAATCCTGAAGTATTGACAGCCAATCTAATTTCTTGAGGCCCAAAAATGTCAGAACAGTACAGATATCCCCCAAATGACCCCTTTTTGCAAAGTAGACAGTCAGAAGTAGTTCATAAAAGGCATGGCGAGTTTTTTAAGTTTTAAGTTTTTTGTCATAATTTTTTGGAAAATGAAGAAATTAAAAAAATTATTTTCACAATTCTTTTTTACATACTGTCACCATTGCAGTACAGCATCATCATATAACTGGTGTGGCGGTGATCACGGATACTGACTGTTGACAGTAGGGAAAATAAAATTGATAATGTTTTTTAATTTTTTTTATTTTATTATTTTTTTTTTTTTTATATATTTTTTAAGATTTTTAAAGATTTTTTTTCATATTATACTATGAGCAAAGTAGAATAATGTTACCATAGTAACA